TCAACAATGGAGGGACAGAAAGTAGTAAACCATAGGCCAATTAGCTTAACATTTGGCATTAGGAAAATGTTAGAAGCTGTTATTAAAAAAAGTCATACCAGGGCTCTTAGATATCAGGCAGAGTCAACATGGTTTTATGAAAAGAGAATCATGTTTAACAAATCTACTGAAGTTCTTTGAGAAAGTAACATGTGTTGTGGATAAAAGGCAGCAGTAAGACAACCAGGTGACACTTGACATTCAATGGTTATTGCACAAAGTAAAAGCTCGTGGGGTAGGAGGTAGCATATTGACTTGAACAGACATTTGGCTGGCTAGCTAACGGGCAAAAGAGAGTTGGCATAAATGAGTCTTTTTCAATTTAGCAGAATCTAGTGATTAGTATGCATGCAGGATCAATACTAGGACCTCAACTGTTTACAATTTATATAAATGACTTAGATGAAGGATCAGCAGCCAAATTTGCTGACAACTCAAAGATAGGTCAAAAAGTAAATTGTGAAGATGACATAGAAGTTAGGAGACAGAAGGTGGTGGTGGAGGAGGGTTTTTTTGGACTGGAGGTCTGTGACCAGCAGTGTTCCGCAGGGATCGGTGCTGGGCCCACTGTTTATAGAAATGACAAACAACAATCTGGACGAGAACTTAGGAAGATTTGTAAATTGCAGATGATACCAAAAGTATACTGGACCGTGAAAAAGGTGATCTAAGATTACAAAGGGATCTTCATCAATCAGGCCAATGGGCCGAGGAGTGGCAGATGGAATTTAGATAAATGCGAAGTGTTACATTTTGGTACAACAAGTAAGAGTAGGGCTTATACAATTAATGGTAGTGAAGTGTTATTGAACAGAAAGACCTTGGGATTCAGAGACATAATTCTTTGAAAATGGCATCACAGGTAGATGGGGTGGTAAAGGGAGCGTTTGGCACACTTGTGTTCATTGCTCAGGCCATTGACTACAGGAGTTGGTATGTCATTTTGTTGTTGCACAGGATGTTGGTGAGGCCATTTTTGGAGTACTGTGTGCAATTCTGGTTGCCCTGCTAAAGGAAGGATATTATTAAACTGGAAAGGGTACAAAGAAGATTTATAAAGGATGTCACCAGGACTGGAGTGTTTGAATTGTTTGGAGAAACTAGACAGGCTGGGACTTTTTCAACTGGAGCATAGGAGGCTGAGGGCTGACCACATTAATAATGTGAATAGCTAAGGTGAATAGGGTGGGCAAGTTCAAAACTTGAGGGCACATTTTTGCGCTGAAAGGAGGAAGACTAAAAAGGGACCCGAGAGGCAACATTTCCCACACAGAGGGTGGCTCGTATGTGGAGTAAATTGCCAGAAGAAGTGGTAGATGCAGGTGCAGCTACAACTTCTAAATGACATTTGGAGAGGGACATGAATAGGAAAGGTTGAGAAGGATGTGGGTCAAACGCAGGAAAATGGGGCTAGTTCAGTTTGGGAAACTTGGTTTGCACGGACGAGTTGGACTGAAGAGTCTTTTCTGTGCCGTCTGATTCTATAACTCTATACAAGTAGGTTAACTGAGAGGGCAAAGATCTGGCAGATTGGAGCATAATGTGAAAAAGTGTGAAATTGTCTATTGGTAGGAAGAAATAAAAGTAAAGTATGTCATCTAAATGGTGAGAGATTACAAAGTTCTGAGATGTAGAAGGAATCTGAGCATTCCCGTGTTTGAATCACAAAAGGCTATTATGCAAATACAGCAAGTAATTATGAAAACTAATTATCATTTACATAGGAGGTTATAAAGGGCACTGGTGAGATCATATTTGATTAGTTCGTGTACCTTATTTAAGGAAGGGTGCAAGTGCGTTGGCAGCAATTCAGAGGAGGTTTACCAGACTAAATCTAGAATGGGTGAGTTGCCTTCTGAGGAATTTGCCTTCTGGACAGGCGAGGCTTATATCTGAGATAGTAGGAACTGCTGATGCTGGAGAATCTGAGATAACAAGGTGTAGAGCTGGATGAACACAGCAGGCCAAGCAGCATCAGAGGAGCAGGAAAGCTGACGTTTCGGGTCGAGACCCTTCTTCAGAAATGGCGGAGGGGAAGGGATTTCTTAAATAAATATGGAGAAAGGGGAGGCAGATAGAAGATGGGTAAAGGAGAAGATAGGTGGAGAGGAGACAGACAGGTCAAAGAGGCGGGGTTGGAGCCAGTAAAGGTGCATGTAGGTGGGGAGTTAGGGAGGGGATAGGTCGGTCCAGGGAGGACGGACAGGTCAAGGAGGCAGGATGAGGTTAGTGGATAGGAGATGGGGGTGGGGCTTGAGGTGGGAGGAATGGTTAGGGAGGCGGGGACGAGCTGGGCTGGTTTTGGGATGCGGTAGGGGGAGGGGAGATTTTGAAGCTTGTGAAGTCCACATTGATACCCTTGGGCTGCAGCGTTCCCAAGCGAAATATGAGATGCTGTTCCTGCAGCTTTCGGGTGGCATCACTGTGGCAATGCAGGAGGCCCAGGATGGACATGTCATCCAAGGAGAC